ACCCACAAAACTTACTGATTCTCCTTATATATTATTTTTTGTAGATTGTCTTCTTGCTCTGCCAAAATATTGGCTCTTCAGCATCTTAATTCTTGATTTCTATTGTTTGGCATTTCTGAATTCTGATATCAAGCATCATATTCGCATGACGTCAACCCCAAAGGAGATCTTTTTGAGTGGGACGACCTCTTTATCAACCTTGAAAAAATACGAAGTATTAGTAACATTATTCTTATGATTATTTGCAAAAGTACGTAAGGAAGAATACAATCATATGCTAATTCCGAAATGATTCCGTTACTGATAAAGGTTTAGCGAACACCTCGGCAACGTTTGTTGTTTTCAATTAGGCATTACTCTGTTATATAAGTGAGCATAATGAATCCATTTGCTAATTATGGTTGAAGCTGAGATGTTAATTTAATTGCTCTGTGAATAAGTTGCAGAGAAATAAAAATGAATTCCGAAGGCAATTATCATCCTAGACTCGTGCACGTATTTCCGCACTTATCTTAATTTTTGCACAGTGTTCTGCTCACATGTGTTTATCAGATATCTTCGCATAGTTAGCTATCGTAGATAGCCGATGCTAACGGCGGGCACGTCTGTTGCTTTGAATATTTGTTAAAACAATCAAGCTACATGTATATAGGTATGTGTTCATACCGATGCTCGAAAATGAGATTAAAAACGAACAGTGATTGCTCAATTGATATTTCATCAACCAGTAATAATAATGCTTGCAGAACGGTATACACACGAATAAATGAGTGCATAATAAATTTTTTGTGATTGCAATAAACAAATAGCCGATGCTAACGACGGGCACGTTAATACTAGTAGGGCAACAGTAAATTTTTTTCAACAGAATATGACGCTGTCCATCAAGGTCAAGTTACCAGTTATTCATATAAACGAATTTCTCCTTCCAGAACAATGTGATTATTGATTGACTTAATGGAAATATTTTCGTAACCATATTGATGATGACGGCATAAAGTGTTAATAAATGATATGCTAATATAATACAGTAAATACTAATGTATGATATCAAGCAAACATTGCAATGACAATAATAATTTCGGGCAGAATTTTTTAGTTAGATCAAGATCATTCTAATTAGAGACATTCATGTGCTTGTAATTCAAATATTTATTTTAAAAATATTGTAGTACTAGTTTTTCTTACTCAGAAAACTATGTGACATAATTCATGCAATAGTCAGCCAACTAAATAATTTATGATTTGTTCACAATTCCGAAGTATTTCATTCGTTTGACACGACATGATAACATTTGTAACGAGTGAAAAAGAAGAAAAATGTCTTGGATGAAAGTTTATCAGTTATACCCATATTCTCACATCAAATTAATAATGCTTTTGTCAAATGCATTACGGGAAAAAATTTAAAAGAACTGAACCAAAGTTATTCCTGTCAAGTGTTTAAATAGAGTCATAAATGTAAAAACATTTTGAAAAGTAAAAGAAAGCTTTAAAAAATGATTAGAGAGATGCCATACAATCTTTTGAGAGTATTTTTAATCTTGAAATACAGATGCAATGCTGTTAATAATATGATGACTTAGTACGCTTTGATTATCTTTTGAACTCATTCATTACCAGTATTTGCCATTAATGTAGCTTAAAAGAAATTGACGCAAATAGAAATGAATAGAAAGTAGGAATTAGAGAAAGGTTTTTGAATTCCACTTTTACCATCAAAAGAGCACAGAATGCTAAGGAGTTTACGGGATGAGAAATGAAGTGGAGCAAAATTAGTGGTAGAACCTTTGGAAAATACGTCACGTATTGGTTGATCAGCAGGTCGCTCATCTGACTACATTCTTTTCCTGCATTGGAAGAAGTAACGATGATTCTCTTCTCTGTTTCGCTCAAGAACCACGTCAAGAGTGACATGTTACATTTTGTTAACTCCGTCCTTGTATCTATTCTCTAGCCTGATAAAGAATAGTAGTTAACTTTAGATGCAGTGAATTGTCCATTTTTATCACTCTTAATATCCTCAGCAAATTTCCTATTCCGCTCCCCCTCTTTCCCTCCATCGTTAACCTTTCTTGTCTCATGGTCATCAATTTGTCATATATTCAACGTAGCTGTATATCATGCATATGCGCATGCCCATGTATTTGCACATGCACATGCACATATGCATATGCAAACGCACATTTATGTCTTCTCCTATTTCATCCAATTTCTACGCAAATACATTTCACCCTAAACATGATGAACATGCTATTTGCTTGTCTTCGATGACAGACTCTGACTGAATTAGTTGTTCATCCATTTTGTATAAAATCAAAGTTGACTGACATCAACATAAAGCTTGTTCAAAAAGAGGAAGAATTTTATCTCTTACCATAACTTTTGTCTCTTCAGCACAAATAAATCAGCACTTTTTTGACCAGACGTAACCAATTCGTTCTGTAATAATACAAGACGGTAGGTTCTTTATTTCATGAGTAATGCTAACAAGTTTCAGGTGTATTAGAGCATGTCTTAACTGATCATTCCATCAATATTTCCTTATCAGGTGCTAAGAATTAATTTAGATATAAAAACCAATGAACTTACTTTCAAGGCGCTTCATATGCAAAGAGCAAGTTGAAATTATTTATGGAGTGAATCCAGAATTCTTTTTGATATTCTAAAAGTGATTATGCATTCCTTGTTAAGTATGCTGATAATATAAATGATCAAATAGAAATCTAATCAGATATTTTGATTGTACCGAAAAAAATTCAACTACATGTCGAACTACTAATGAAATGCAAACTACTTACTTATCTTCAATTACTATTGTGTATACTCTTTAATTTACATAAATGCTTTAATGCTGTGCGTCCACATAACTTTGTTTACATTTTCCATTCAATTAAGAATATGAAAACGACCGTATGTCATAAAAATCAATGAAGTGAGGTTACATATGGTTCATTAAAACTGACAAATCAGAATCTTATTTCAATAATTGGTTGACAAAGTTAAAAAATAAATTTGTGCTAGCACATGGTGATTTGTTAAAAATGTGCAGTTGCACCTGGTGATTTCGTTAGTGTTTCTGGTTTTGCAGCTTCGACTATGCTCATCTAAGCCTTCAACGTTTGGAGGAAATAAAAATAATGCTGTTCAACTGCAGAAATAATATGATCATGATACACACTATTGTTACTACTGTAACTGTGCAAACTACCAATACCCCAATACCACGATTAAAAGATCTCAAGATGATCAGTGAGCGGTTAATGTATAAAAATGGTTATTTTCTCAAAACACTCCTTTCATATTTGATCCTGTAAATTTTCATCACGGCATTTTTTCTTGTCGCGCAAATGGTTTGAATTGAAAACAAAACCTAGTCACAAATCTGCAATTTCTTGCAAAAATGTAACAGTGCAATGTGTTCGTGGGGCTCAGGAATTCTCAAAGATTATGAATGTTGTTGCTGGATATTGCCCCAGGGTTCACTGAGATGTCTACGATTTTTCATGCTTCCCAGATTCAGTCCTTCCTGAAAACTGCTACAGAAAAACCATTTGTGACCAATCTCCAGTTCAGTTGTGTTTTGAATGCGTCGCAGAGAAACCTATAAAAAAGTCTTGTAATAGGTTCGTGAAAGAAACGTTTGTTTTTTGGCAATCATTATTTTACATACTGATGCATTTTTAGAACCACATCATGTTCTGCTTTGATTATATGATAATTGCAAGCTCAATAAAAATTAAAATCTTTTGAAGTGGTGGAAGATATATGACACTTATTGATTACTCTATTATATAATAAAATAAATAAGTTTACTAGTGTTTGTTAAGAATTGTTTTCGACCAAATTAAGATTGTTATTAAATTAGTGCGAAATTATATGTTGTAATGCCAAATCAGGATGGTTCTAAAAATGCAGCAGTAATGTAAATCAATCACTGCTAGCAAACCCAACATTTTTTCTCAGAAACCTGTCACAAGACTTCTCATGAGTTTCTCTGCCACACATCCAAAATATAAAACTAAGCTGTAGAGTAGACAGAAATAGTGTTTCTGTAGCAGATTTAAGAAAGATTGAATTTGGTAAATATAAAGATCCTAGACATGTCACTGAACTCTGGAGCATAATCTTTTAATTTTTCAATTTTTAAGTGTGTCAAAGAATTAAGAAAGAAAAGCTATCATGGGAGCTGGTGGTTAAATTGGAATACGTACAAAGTGCTGTTGTACTACTTTTATCGTGCAAGCTTCTGCACATAACTGAGGCATATTTGCTTATGAATGATAAATTTTGTACATTAGAAGTTTCTCGCATTTTAGGTAGTATGCTAACTATTTATTTTTTGTGCGTCTTCAAACGTTTTACTAATTTTACCGATATATACTTTAGATGTGTAAGTAAATAATATTTACATATTCTTTTACTTGGAAGGATGGGAAAACAACATAAGAAGCGCTCTCAAGAAATCCTGGTCGCCATACAAGAAAAAAAACGCATAGTTTGTCTCATTACACTTTTATTTGACTATTTCTATTTTAAAGAATTTTATTATTCGACTAAAATGAGCACTCTTACTTCTTAAGTCTTTACAAAAATGAAAAAATTGTGATTCCTGCTTGTTTTTTAGATTTTGTTTAATTTAATTAAAATGTAATATGTTTGAATTGTTTCAGAGTACCGAAAAGCCATCACCAGACGGTTACTATTCAGTAGAGGTCAACTTAAAACATGTGTTTGAGTGCGATTTGTTGAAGTTAGACTTAGAAAATAAATATTTGTGTAGTTTTCCAGACGAGTTTTTCGTATTTTGGAAGCATGTTCAGATAGCAGTTGGCAAAGGCAATAATCCATGTCGTATGCTTTTTTCACAATTTAATTTGTCTGTAGCACTTAAAATAGAAAGGTTTGTCCAATATGTATTTTTTAGTTGCTTATTTATAACTCATAATTTTCATCTAAGAAGTCTTAAGTATGTTTTTGTTTTTTAATATCGTAAATATTTTAGCTTTTGATCTAACCTTCCAAGAGAATTTTTTACAGCATTTTATAATACCAGTATATCAGTATATCTTTTTATTGCAAAAGTAATGATACTTAATCATTAAAAATCTTTATAAAAGTTTAGGTTTGATTCTGTCTTTAATGTTGAGTTTAAGGACTCTGTTCTGTTATTTAATTTTGGTAATACTATTCAGTATTTGTGAGATATACGTCACTTTGTTATAACTCTCTCTGACATAAAATATGCTGAAATAATGGAGCGCGTCATACATCCTTATCGGTCTTTCAATCTTTTTAGTTATTCTTCCCTGTATTTTAAGCTACCGGTCTTACTTCATCGAAAATTAGTTCTACTCATTTAAGTAATTTATCACAGTTACTTTGAGTTTCATAGAATTCTATGATATTTGTGTGCATTATATTTGTAACAGTCTTCGTTTTAGCTATAACCATGTTTGTAGTAATGTGCATCTGCTATCGTATATTAACTTTTTTCTAGCCAAAAATTATTTCTGAATTAGATTGTAATTCATTTTGACGATATATATTTTAAAAACTTTTTGTGGTTTTTATTCCATCAAAATTTTCAGATTTTTTCCAGCACTTAAAATCTTTACGACTTTGCGGAGTATTTGATTATCTTGCTGGCCATCTGAAAGATGCAGATTCAAAAAAATGTTTGCTACATGATCGATATGCTACTGATTTGCCAGAAATGCAGACACTGGCTGTATATGATTCAGGTCGATTTGTTTACTGGAGGTCCGATGTAATCAATTTTCTGCACCTATTTATTCTTATTTCATGTATCATTTAAAAATTTCTGTTCTACAAATTGAATGTCGGTTTTTTGCTGTTGTTTCGTATGTTTTTCATTTATTGGATCACAAAGTTGAATTATCATTGATTTGATTTAATTGATCATTAATCACAATATTATTGTATTAAGGAAATATATATTTATATTCTTCCTCAAATTCCGTAACTTTTCTTGTCTCAGGGACTAAAGATTTCGTTTTTTAGAGATGAACCAAACACCAAGAAACCATTAATTGTTCATGTTAAAAATGAGGAACATTTTCCGGAATGTGTTATTGTTGGAAATGAAGACCCATTTTATATAGTTGCATATATAATTGGAAATAGTTTGCCAGTTCGCTTCCATAATCTTTTCTCAAAATCTTGGATTGGTAAGTTGGGAGAAAATACGTTTAAAAAGATTTTTGCTTTTATTAAAAAAATCAGTGTGAAAGTGTTTCTAGAAAATTATGCATCGTACATATCAAATTTGAGAAAGATCACTAAATCACGCAAGAATAATACTGTTGGTTCTCCATTTCATGGAATTGGGATATTCGTGAAAGTTAATAACAATATACGATACAGACCATTAAATGAGAAAAAAGGTTCCTCATCATTTATTGATTTTTGTACTCAGTCTCTACTGTTGGTAAGAATTTAAATAAAAATATGAATCTATGTAATACATTTGTGTTTTGAAACGCTGTACTTAAATGTTGGAACTGTTATACGCTATTTTTAGCTAAATTGAAAGAATTGATAAAAAATGCAGCCACTGTTAGTGATGAAACTTTGAACGAGTGGAGAATAAAAAAAATAATGGATTTTGTTACTCGTGTCCAGGTAATATTCTTGCGTGAGATTAATATTTGGCCCATTTCACTTAAAATATCGTTTTTCTTCCCACTATAGAATCTCCGCATAGTTAGGAGGAAGTGCTGTAATTTCAAATCCATAGAGAAGCTGTGATTCAGTGTTCGAAAAGTTTTAGTTTGCAAATGATGAGAAGGATTTTGGAATGGGTCTCGAGCTTGGACATAATATATTCTGGTCCAATTATGCCTATTTTGATAAACTGGCTCAAAAGTTATTGGTTACAGCTTATGAATTACTAAATCGTGAGGTGTTCGCTTATATTTTAAAAGTGCATATGCCGACTCGTCGAGATCTGCCTAATTATTAGTATGTTATTATCGGTATTTTATAGTTTCCAATTTTTTCCTTTGTTTCACATGTTTGAAATAGATTGCAAGTATATTTGTCCTTTTACATGAAGCGTTATAGTTAAACAACCTAATTTGATCTGGTTGCTGTAAGCTAAATTCTCTTTGGCTCCGTTTCTTAATTTTACATGTATAGTTTTCACTATAATTGATTTGAAATTTCGACTGACCACAAACTTGGTTTTTGCTACGTTTTGTTTGTAAATCAAGCAATTATTTCTTATCAAATGTTTTTTGTTCTCTTGTTGAGCAGATCAAATAAAATATCTTTCTTTTCAAAACAGTTTATCTGGCGAGATAACTCTTTTTTGTGTTACAATCGTGCAGATTTAAAGAGATATTGTTTGCTCTTCTACTCATTGTGCTAAAAGTTATGTCAAAACACAATCTTATTGTATTCAGGACAAAATCTCTCGAATCGTTCAAAAAATAATTTCTTGAATATATTCATATACATTATAGGAAGGTAATTTTCGCTTGTGAAGTGAGAAGTGCTTTAGGAACACGTTTCCAGCCATTAGATAATTGACCTGATTGACTGTCACAATTTTCTGTCTTTATTACTGCCATTAATACAGTTCTGGTGTTTTCGAGTGCCGATACCATTGTTTTTTTTTGTTGAAACTGACCGCAGAGTATTTTCGCCATTTACTTGCGTAGTAGCGTCGTAAAATTTCATAACAGATTTAGAACAAAGATAGTAATAGAAAACCAGAAATAGCGAAGGAACAATGTGTACTTTCCAAGACAAGGCAATATGCTTGCCATATATAAATAAATGTATGTAAGGATATACCGCATCTGCGGTTATCGATTCTTTCATTATTAATTCTAACGTTAGATCGTATTTTGGCATTTGTGTGCACATCTTTGCCTAGCTCCATACATATTTTCATCTTGTGAGTTTTTTCCGGCTTCAAAATCACCGCCCTCCTGGTAGGCATAGATGAGGATTCTATAAGTACGTTATGAAGCCGTAAAAGCATAAGCTCACTCCTTTGTTCAACACAATGAAGCCCACATCCTAACCCGTCCTTTGGCAGGTATAGTCTCTAGACATGCAGGTTGACTGTGTATTTCGTACCCATTCAGTAACTGCTTGATATCATGATCAAATGCTTGAAAATCTTCTCTTGAGCACCCCAGTGTAATAATGTATTAATCCTATGGCGTACTCATTTACTGCCTTGATAAAGTTCTTGTCGTTTAATGTAGTTTTGGCTAGTCGTTCAGTTCTCGCCAAAATCTCTACTCGCACAGTATTATAATTTTCTCGGGTCGAAGCACCAGTCCTGTTTTCCATTATTCCAAGATACACTTGAGCTCTTTCCAAGAGCACCGCCTTATCAGCGCATACTTCAGTATCAAAAGCTGGCTTCGTTGGATTTACTCTTAACCCTACTATTTCGAAGAACCTCTGGACTTCTTGGGCCATAGCTTTCATGATATCGGTAGCAAGGAGCTTGAGCCCATCCACAAATAGTAAATGGTTCGTTACATGCATTTCTTGACCGGTGGTATCTGAGAGTGAGCCTAGGCTCAACTGGTCCATTCATAAAACGAAGAACAGGATTCGCCTCTGCATTTTTTCTTCAACTGTGGTTTCTCCATTGTTTTTCAGTGTAATCGACCAACTGGAGGTGATGCTTCTCAGAAACTAGCCGATTCACACAAGCATATCAAACCTTTCAATACACTAAATCAGATAATTGTGATTAGCTGAGTCGAACGCTTTTCTAACGTCATACCACGTGGTGAATAACTGACTTTGAAGTGTTTAAGAAAACGCTCAAAGGCATCTCTTTCGACAATCAATATGGATTCTACGAGGACGAAGCGAAAACGATGAGTACGACAAATCTGAGCGCTGGACAAGTACTGCCAGAGTGCCGGGATGCGGTCCAGCGCCGGGATCAATAAAGAGAAAATTGAAACTTGCCTCCACATTTTATTATATATATATATATA